AAAAAAAAAAAAAAAAAAAAAAAAAAAAAAAAATCAAGACGGACAAAAGTAATACCTGATCTAGAGAAAATCAATTAACTGCCTCTGGCAGTGGCAGTAATCAGATGGATGCAAGTTCTACAGATCCCACCAGAGGAAATCACAGCAGCCATCTCAGAGTGTTGGGACCAGCTCAAGGTTATTCCCAACCAGCGACAAGCAGCTGGCTTCTGTCTTCCCTACCCACACTCCTTCAACAGTCTGGTTGACTCAGCGAAGGGGGTTCCGATCGACCTTACCTGTCAAAGATGTCCATGGGCATTCGAATCCACTCCCCACTTGTGGTGGGATAGCCCGGCTTCCCTTTATAAAAAAAAAAAAAAAAAACACCGAATCTGACACTGGGGGATCAGCTTCTGGACAAAAGTGGCAGAGGAACCACCCATCCCTGGACCGGGGGGGAAATGGGTCTCCTAGGGACTATTCCAGGGGGTATTCCAGACTCCCTGCAACAGGATGTAGGGTGGGGGTACGTTGCCCAGACGGCTACCGTAGGGCAGCAGGCATGGAAGTGATAGGGAAGGAGAGAAACAGCAGGGTCTTCAACAACAGAGAGATCACCACAGCAACAAAGAAATTCTTCTCTCATTCCGCACCCACCTGCGAAGCCTGCTAAGAGCAAATCCAATCAGACTGGAGAAGACAGAACTGCAAATCAACAAAGCAAGAGGAGCTACGGTTCGATCGATAGAACTTGGTGCATTGGGGACAAGATAGCCAAGATCACGACAGATGGTAAGTTGCAGTTAGACCAGTGGTTCTTTGGTAGGTTGCTCCGCCGTGCCAGGGCACTCGGTTCTCTGGGCGCAGTGGGCAGGGAACGGGAGTATCACCCCATTGGTGGTTTTGGGGTGGATGGAGTGTCTAGGAGCGCTTGGAGTCCTAGCCGGACTCTGCCGCCGATATGAAGCGGAACCAGTAGAATTACAGCGACAGGATCAGAAGTGTAGGACTTAGGGAATACTCACACTAGCACTTCCCAGAATGCATCAGACCCTACTTTTTGACACACCTGTATGCATCTGGCCGCAAGTCCGTCCAGAAATAAGTGAAAAAGTCCTAGTGTGAGTATGCCCTTAGGCTTCTAGGTTGCCTCACCTTTCAGGCATTGCGTGGGCTTGTTTTGGGCTATCTTCTGATAGGCCCTACTTTCTGCGCAATTGCACTTTGGGGAGGGAGGGGAGGTCCGATAGGCTTAATCAAATTGCACAAGTACCCCCATTCCTTTTCTCTTCCCATGCCGGTTGGTGTTCAGGACGCGCATTGACACAGTTTTTTTCTTTTGGGGGGGAAAAGGTACTTCGGCGCAGTCATCGCCGGGGAAATCTTTTTGAATTTTTGAACGCTTTGGAAAGAATGTGGGAGACCGCGCGGGTGCTCGGAATTAGGACTCTAATTAGACTAGGATTTTGGGGACATCGTATTTCTTTTTCGTAACTGCACGGTGCTCCTTACTCTAGCGCATTTTGCTGCGCTCTGTCCTGCACTCTACTCCGGCCGCGCCTTAATTCTAATCTCAACTGTAATTTTTCCTTGTTCCTTCCTTGGCGAGTGCGGGTGTAACCGTAATCTTCTCCTTCTTGGCTTTTCTTCGCGCCAAAACATGCGTCTTCTTCCCCTTCGTCTCATTGGCCAGAGCGGTGCATGACTGGATTGATGAATGGAGAGTGGCTACGTCCTCTGCGTCGCGGCCTAAGCATGCCGATCGTAGGCACCTCCTTCCTTTTCTCTCTCAGCCTGCCTTAGCGTAATCCCGACTATCTCGCGCAAATGCTAATTGCTATAAATTTCGCAAGTGTGACTAAATCACTCTCTAATCAACACTCAAAAGGTTAGCGCGGTCAAGAGAATTGGCTAACTAGTAGGAGCATGCGAGGAGGTGAGTTCGGAGTTGGGCGATCCGACGTGCTGGTGGCGAATGTGCGGGGTTGACGTACGGCGACGACGGACTGTGGAGCACGGGCGAACCCGGCGTGCGTACTCGGGCTAAGCGGGGTGACGGCTTTGGGTTGTTGGTAGGTGCTAGACGAAGGACTGCCTGCATCGGTATACGGAGGAGGATGGTGAAGCAGTGAGAGTGTGGGGAGTGTTGAGGTGCATGGGGCTATCTCTTCTAGCCCTGTTGGAATTCTTGGTTTCGGCTTCCATTGTTTTAGTTTTTAAAATTGCAGAATGCTATGTGATTGTACAAATCTTTTCCTTTCTTTTGAGTATCTCTTACATCTTTTTCCTTTTATGAATGATAGTGTCTACGGCTTGATCATCTCAATTTTTGGTGCATACTTCCTGTCTATGACGGAGGATTGAATGATAGGGAGGGTGGATGCATGCCTAACACTAGAGTCAAATGGGAAATAGTGAGTTTGGTCGTCGTGAGTAGCCTGGCGGACGGATCTTACGCGATCCCGCGTATACGTGATTTTCAGCCAATAGAACGGGCCGTCACGTATACACGCGCTCGTGTGAGTCCTCCCCCGCCCGAGCCATAGGTATATTACTGCATGGATTAGGAACGAAAACACTTTGCTTGACTTCATGGTAGAGAATTTGGTGTCTCTTTTTCGATTACAATTACCCCTATTGTCTGCGGGGTTTGTACTGAGCTAAGTGTTGAGAACACTGCCCTCGACCAAGACAGTCCATATTAGACTCCTAGGCACCGAATCCGCCCATTATGAGCACACGGTTAGGAAAGATGCAAGCTAAGAGAGCCTCTTTTTCATCCAAACTTCTTTGCATCTTTGCCCTTAGAACCTTGACACCGGAGATCCCAGTTCCGATCTGGGACTCCACCCCACTTTCCTAAAATCCTTGGCACACCCCCTTTTTCGCAACTTCCTGGGCCTCTCCCACTCTGATCAGGAAGTCGCATTGGGCGTGAGGTTGGGCTTCACACGACTACCCAACTAAATATTACCCCTAGAGATCACTGAGTCTAAACCCGAGTCAAACGAACCGAAACCAAGCCACTCATGCACTATCTAGTAAGCCTTCTAACACCTACCTAAACTTTCATGTCCTCATACCATAACTATGTCAGGTCTCACGCTCCACCGCTAAGTTACAAGGCAGCACGACCAGCCCCTACTACGGTCAGGAGCCAAATGAATTGAAACCAAAGCATTCGCATACTATCTAGTAAGCCTTTCAGCACTTGTCTCACCTGTGACAAAAACTCTGCCAGGCGTCACGCCCCACCGCTAAGCTATAGGGCAGTACGGGCCACCCCGACTTCGGGTAACGTCGCCCTGTTGGTAGTTCACAAATGGCCACCCTCAACGATTCTTCAAATCTCTCTATCAGGCCTCATGCCCCAGCCTAACTCGGGTTACTGAGCAGTGTGACCAAACCTCGACATTGGCCAACGTCGTTCTAGTATCGGCCCTCCGTGAACTAAGACATTACTGCTCAACACGACATTGCACAAGCCACCAAACACTATGAAGGTCGCCCATCCTTCAATTCCTCTTGTGCACTGAGATCGTTTTGAGATTTACTTGAATAAGTGTCAGTTAGTACCCACCCAAATCCAACTGAAACCTTTTACCAATACATCCATATTCATGCAAAAACCAAATCTCTCTACTAGGCCTCACACCTCGAACAGGTTGGGTTATGGAGTTGCGCTACCTTGCTCTGGCTACGGTCTGCATCACTCCGGCTTCGACCTCCCATTGGCCAGTGAAACTATCCCCCCAAAACAGTCCCCCAATCTCTCTTGTTGGCTCTCTGGCCCCAATAGGCTGGATTACAGGATTGAGCAACCTTGACCAGGCGCCGCCCAGAGTCTCTGTGGCATCGGCCATCCGTGAGCCACATAATACAACCGCCTCAGCAGGGTTGCCAGTGAGCCATCAAGTCTTCCTTATTCCTAAACTTGTAAACTCTTCTCGAAGAAGTCCCAAACAATTTTTGATGATGTTGATTATGCTAATGATGTTGATGAGTCAAAGCACAGAGAACATAGAATTTTCCCCTTCCCCTTCTCCCTCTTACTCTGTCCCTACGCTCCTCCCCCCCCCCCCGGAGGGGAGCCAACCTCCTCGGCACCAACATAAGACAAACCCACTCCTTTTACCTTACTTCCTCAAGGACATCTAGTTTACTCCTAAAGTATGCCCTTACTGGCCCCTTCCCTTGTCTGCCCTTGTTGGGGTTTGATACCAGCACACATCTCAACCCCAACCCTAAAATAGATCAACCCCCAAGATCTGCCCCTAGCTCTTTTAAGACTTTCACCACCCACCTTGTAAAGCCCCTACATAATATTGGTCCTCACCTCAAAGCCACCCAGCCACCCTATCGAAAACACAATTTTATGGTTTGCCCATGCCCACCATGCTTCCAATCACGCACAAAAATATGAAACTAAGAACACATAACAAAGTGAAGATTTGACATCCTCGCATATGAGAAATGTTGTTAAGGATTTAAGGTCAGGAAACTACCCGTAAGATCCCACCTCAACTACGGTCAGAGGTCGTCAAACCAAATTTTCCTCTCACCCACATCTGACGATCCCAAGCTGTGATGTGTCAAATTAGCCGCACCCACGTAAGTACAACATTTTTTACCCAGATTCAACCCACCCTTGCTAAATTTTTTTTTTTTTTACCCGTACGCAGCCTACCCGACATCTGCGCTACAATCCTGACATGTATCTGGTCACACCCATACCTTAATTTAATCCACCTGCATTCGCCCACCCCTGGGACCAATTTTCATCCACCTATACCAGACTGCATCATGCCCAAATTTTACAACCCGACATGCTTTTTTTTTTCCAGTGATTTCATTTGAATGTAAAGGTTTACCTTATATATAGAAATTACCATATACATTACAACTTTTGTTATAATTTAGTAGCACATTTAAACGCTTGGAGATAATTTGAAAAAATGCTAAGCATATCAGACATGTCATGCAATTACGAAGGTGGGTCGACAGACTTAAAAAAAAAAAAAAAAGGCTAAGTACCCAAGGTTGGCATTACAACATTTAAGTACACGTTAAACTTATGAATCCATACCTCTCCTCGTAAAGGCCGGGGAGGTTATGGTCATTGCTCCAATGACACACAAGTGACAGAATTACAGATTGTCTACAAAAATTGCATTATATTTGGAGACAACCATTGATTACTTACCGAAAAAGGAGTAGGATTTACCTGAAAATCATTGCTTTCGTGAGACGGTTAAAAAAATGCATAATCCGGAGAGACATATATTGATTACTTCCCCCAAAAGGAGTCCCCAAAAGAGAAGGATTGATCTCCTACCACGTTATCCCGACCTCTTTTTCTTAAAAAAAATAGATTGGCGTCGTTTACAATGCACTTAGTACTTACTTATAACCAGTTTTAAAGTGTCATTCCTTTATAGCTCCTTAAATCAGGTTCATATTGAACCGCACAAAAAGCATATCATTCACCATCAGTGGATTCAACATATTGCAGTTCTTGGTAATCATATTATCGATATCTAAGAAATTACATTCGTTCTTGGCGCTGGAGGTTGACACGCATAGAATTGCACGGGTTGTTAGAGACATGATTGACAAAGAAGGTTTTCAACACCATATGAAACGAACTTGAGGCAGTTACCTCAATGATCCCTCGTACCTTCCACCATTGCAGCAGGTCGACGCTGCACGTTTCTTCTTTGGTCGATACGGGATCAGAGGAAATATCAATCTGTTTTTTTACACACTCCTGCTCAGTCAAAAGTGTTGCATTGACATCTTAACTCGTTGTGTTTTCATCATCATTCCAGCTATTTAGAGAAGGAACACTCATATCAACCCTTAGTTATTTAAAAGGCCGGTGCACATTAGATTCATGCTTATTTTTTAGCACTCACCCTCATAGCCTGCAAAGCTCAACATGAT